TTTTAAAATTAAAAAAAAATAGTATTTTTGTGTGTGTGTGTGTGTGTGTGTGTGTATATATAATGTAAAGTTACAATTTTACCTCTTTTAAAATTAATGAAAGTCACTATAAGAAATTGAGTGGTCATGGTGACACTAAATATAAAAGTTGGTGGCTATGATGAAACAAAATCAAATTGAGCAGCGACGGTGACACTAAATATAAAGTTAGGTGGTCATGTTGAAATAAAATCAAATTAGGTAGTCATGGTGACCTTAATGATAAAGTTGGGTGATCATCGATGGATTTAACCTCTAAAAATAAGATTTTAAGTATATTTTGATAGAAGTTTATGAAATTTGTAATTGAAAAATCAATAAGCCCCTGTTTGTCTACTATTAATTCAAAAAATTGTTTGCTACANGTTTGTCTACTATTAATTCAAAAAATTGTTTGTTACAGTAAGATTCTCCACTACACATTCACCCAATAAAATATTCTACATACAAACTAATAAAGTTACTTTAATTTTCAACCACACATTCTCCAAAAAATACTATTCATTACACTAATTTTCTCCCAATAATGGGAGATAAACAAGCTCTAAATGTTGTTGGTCTCATGAAATGTATGATTAAAAATAAAATTGAAAAAAATAAGTTTTAAAAAGTTAGAGCAAAACATGATATTAGCCTATGTTCGTTTACCATTAAAGTAGAAAAATGAGTTTTGTAATAGTGAATTTTTGAAAAATATAAGGTTAAAATGTGGAAAAAATTTGAATTTACGAGTAAAATATTTTATTATGAGAGTATGTGTTTTTGAAAATGAGTTTGTGATTTTTTTTATTTTTATTTTTTGAAATTATAGTAGACTAATCACCTAGTACACTTCTATTAGGTTGACTAGTGAGTCCAGATTTATTTTCATTTTTGATGTCTCTTTAGCTGTCTTTTTAATAAAATCTTGATACATCGTTACAAAATTGAACAAATTGTCACTTAACCTACCTATTATTTTAGAGATGTTCTCTCTAAAATTTTTACATTTCAAAATTAAAGTAAGGTGTTGAAATTTTATTGGAGCTATAATCAGTATTCTAAAAAGCTCGCTTCAGCGGTGTTTAAGTATTTTCTAGATTCGAAACTCGGGTAAAACACACGAAGCCTACATACTTTTTTTTTTTCAATTTATAAACGGTTGAATTTTTTTCCTTTCTTTCTTTCTTTCATCTTTTGTAGGCGCGCTTTATTTTTTATTTTTTATTTTTTTTAGTCCTTTATTTGACTTTAACTTATTATTTTTTAAAAAACTTTTCATTTGACTTTAATTTCAAAATTTTAAAAGATTTTATCTGTACAAAAGTTAAAAATGACTTTATCTAAATAGTTAAATAAAATTTAAACTATAGTACTATCTACATTATGTAATTATGATCTTGAGACTTGTATTTTGTTGCAAAGTCCAAAAACATGTATGAAATTCTTATAAATCTATTAAGTAACACTTGTTTAATTGAAAATTAAAACTATGAAAAACATTCTAATTTTTTGTATTTTGAAAAACTTGAAAATTGTATAATTGACTAATAGTAGGAATTATTATATCTTATAATTTTAGATATTTGATATGCATTATTTTAATTATTAAATGATTAAAAATTTAAAATAATATTAAAAATAATAAAACGTATTTTTAGGTCTAAATCTACCTAAATTTGCTTAAACTCGTAAAATTTAAATCATTACTTTTATGCTTAATCACACTTTACGTTTTTTAGAACACTAAATATAATCGAAAATGTGACATCAATGAGACGTGTCATCATAGTTAATTATGAGTTGAAATTTGATGTCTCTATTTCTTTAATTTTTCCCCACTCAAATCTTGATTAAATAATCAATAACAAGATGTCATATAATATGCTAAGTGAATGTTAAACTCCTGTAATGAGGTACACATGATTAAGCAGAAAACACCTACAAGACATACAAACGTAAACAGTAAATGTCAACTATTATTTATCAACTAAGCCTTCGTTGGGGAAGAATTTATAAATGGTTGAGTTTATAAATACTTAAAAATAAGTTGTGAATATTAAGTCCCTGTTTAAACCCCTTTTTTTAAGCATACATTCTTTCAAAACTCATGTTTAACCACACATTCTCTTCCATAAAATAATTATATACGTATTTAAAAAAAATTTCTTACTTTCAACCACACATTCTTCAAAAAATCACTATTTCATAATATGTTTTATTCCAAAATGGGAATCAAACAGCTGCTAAATAAGTACTTGTAAATAAAGTTTAACTATTTATAATTAATAGATAAAATTTGCAAATCTGAACTTGAATGCTAAACGAGCTTTTTAGTGCACCAACAAATTATAGTGGTCAGTTATTTTTTGTGAGTTTGGGTTAACAAACAAAAACTAGAAGAGGACTCACAAGTCAAAGTCTTTAAGGACAAAAAATAAAGAAAAAAATGCAGCATTTCCTCATCTTTTCAATTTTTTTAAATTTTATTATAACCTGCCAGCAAATGTCCATAACCTTTCATAAATGACAAAATGGAACTTTGCATTTTCCTAATATTAAATAAGTTGAAAAATAAAAAAAGCCCAGAAATTAAAATAAATTTATAAACCCAGACGTCTTTAAATTCAATCATGCTACAAGTACATTGTTTTTGACATCAAGTATGACATTGTGTCACATGTTGCAGCACGATTGATCAGTTTGAAAATACAACACACTTTCTCGCCACTGTATTTTTGAATTTGTAAAGGAGTGTCAAACTCNCACTCCATTTTTGAATTTGCAAATGAGTGTCAAACTCCATGTACACAAGGAGCATAATTCCTTTAAATTAAGGGGATGTGATGATGCATGCTTCTTGATTCTTGCGAATTTGGCAACGAGACAATCCGAATTGTATCTAGGCTTAGCAACCCGGATGCCATTACAAAAATGCAAATGGTGATTTGCAGCCATGGTGGTGCCGTCTTTTTCTTGTCGGGTCCAAAATAGATTTGGGCATCGAAACTTTTTTTCCTTTTTCTTAATCTGCAGCTGTATTTTTTTCTACTATTTTCTTGTGTAAATGGGATGACGTTATTCTGTTATTATACTAATGGAACTAGGGATGTCAACGATTCGGTTCGGTCAAAATCATAATCGCACCACCAACTTTTTGGTTATACCATAACAGCATCATAACCATGTAAGTCGTTTCAGCTTCGTTCGTATCTCGGTTCGGTTAATAACCACGAAAATAAATTATTTTTTATAAGTTCAAATTCCAACTGTCAAATTGAAAAAAATTATGAAGAAAAGCACGCAGATGATCACATAATGAATTGAAAGATTACTCTGAAATTATGCAAATGGATTAAAAGATTACGCGATGACCCATGGCAAGGCATTTCAAATTTGATTGCTGAAAAACGAGATTTAGGGAAACTCGAAAAGAACAAAATATGGTAAAAAAAGTGGAAAAGTGTTTTGTAATGTTAATTGTGCCAACATTTTGGGTAAGCCCAAATCACATTGGTCAAAGTTGCCCAATTAATTTTGGGAAAAAAATAATAAAAAACTCAATTGACCAATTAATTTTTTTTTTTTTATAAAATGGTAATCGGTTCGGGGCGGGGCACTATCACTAAATACCATACCCGCCCCACCACAAATCGGGTCATTAAAATCAAAATCATAACCACCCCGTTACACCATTGGTTCAATTTTTTTCGCCCCATTCGCTTCGATTAACAACAGTTTTCGATTTTAACATGTTCAAATTGCCATCCCCTAAATGGAACTATATAATTCTTTTTTAGAATACATAGACAACAAGAAAGGCTGCAAAATCTGTGCCTATATTATAAATCAGCAAAATTTCTTTTCCTCTATAATAAGTAAATCATAGATCTAAAATAAAGAAAAACAAATTTATAGGAAAGAAGAAATTGGAGGCTCAGATTCGCCTTTTATCATCAGAAGAGAAAAATGGCAACCCCGCCGTGGCTGCAGAAATCAGTTTCATTTATGAGAAAGAAGAAGACATTTTTTTTTTGATTTGAGGGGTGGGTGGGTGGGTTTATGAATTTATTTTAATTTCTAGCCTTTTTAATTTATTTTTTAAACTTATTTAATACTAGGAAAATGCAAAGTACCATTTTGCCATTTACAATTTGGTCAAAATTAATCAAAATTTGACTTTCTTAGTCAACTAATGGTCAAATGGATGTTCTCCATTTGGATTCCAACTGCGTATTTATGAAATGTTGGGATCATTTTGACACAAAATGAAGATTATGGTAAAGTCTACAAATATTGAAAAGGTTAGGAAGTGTTGATGCAATTTACCCAAAAATAAAATGGAAAGTGCTATGTATATATAATAATCTATACAAAGTTTCACACACCCTTACATGGAAGGGGTAGACACAATAAAATATTTGTGAATATCCTCGAGGGGGTGTGAAATTTGTCTACACCTTACGGTGACCCACAGCATTTTCCAAATAAAATAAAAGACACACCCCCACTCTACCCCTCTATCTTCTCTCTCTACATTCATATTATCCTCCACCACCAGTCCACCACCACGGCACAACCAACCATACGGACACGTGTATACCTGCCGCCGTTGGCCTTCTTATCATCTCAACATCCTGCAAGTTTTCTCTAACTTTTAGCCCTTTAATTTTCTTTATTTTTAAAACCTTTTAGTTGCTGTTGTCTATTCTGATGCGGAAACCGATTTGAGAATTATTAATTATTCAACTTGGAAAAGATTTAGGGTAGTTAGAGCGAATTTCGCTCTGTGGTTTCTTTGAATTGAATCACGGATGCTTGGGGTACTGTTTCTCATTTTCTGGGTCTTACCGAGGATGATTACCTAAATTGGAGGCGTACTAATTAGAGAGTTTGTAATACGATTTGAGTCCAGAATAAGATTTAAGCTTCTGGGTTTTTTATGTTTTTAGATTTTTGTTGAGGTTATTGGATGTTAATCTATGGAGGCCAGAATTGGAGGTGAAGCTCAGCTTCATTATGGTCTGCCTTCCACGGATTTGAGGACGCTGGAGAAGAGAAGTCTTGAATGGGATCCCAATGATTGGAAATGGGATGGACATCTATTCGTTGCTTCTCGAGTCAATCAAAATCCTTCTAATTACCAGGGTAGGCAGTTTTTTCCACTTGAAAGTGGAATTACTACAACTAGGGATTCTTCTAACAGTTCCTCCTCTGGCTCCGAAGAATTGAATCAACGGGCTGAGAAAGAGAAGAGGGAATTGGAGAAGAGGAGAAGACTTGTCGTAGTTGAAGATGATGATTTAACAGATGAGGGCGGCAATCTTATGCTAAAGCTCGGGGTACAAGACTATCCAATGATAGAGAGGAGCACGGGAAATGGGGATGAAACATCCGGGAAGAAGACTAATTTGTCTGGAGCTACCTCAAGTCGCGCAGTTTGCCAGGTTGAGGACTGCGGTGCTGATCTGAGTAAGGCCAAAGATTATCACAGACGGCACAAGGTTTGTGAGATGCATTCAAAGGCCAGTAGAGCACTTGTTGGGAATCAAATGCAACGTTTCTGCCAGCAGTGTAGCAGGTAAATCCTAACCCTTCACTTGCTTCTCTGTGGAGTTAAATTTACCAAGTCCCCGAGCATTATCTGGGGAATCTGTTAGTTTATTTGCAGATCCTGATAACTATGTTCAATATATCTTTGCCCAGATTTGGTTTTACTAAATACTAGGTTTTTCATTATGCGTTGTCAGAGTCCAATACTGGTGGCCTTTTGACTTAGAGTAATGTGCTAATATTCCGTGAAGTTATATGGTCACCAGTTCCGCATGATTATAATTTGAGCATGGTTATTCTGTCTGTCTCAACTCTCAAGTGACTTCTGTGCCTAGACACCTATGAGTTCACACATTTTTGCAGATTTCATGCACTTCAAGAGTTTGATGAAGGAAAACGCAGTTGCCGTCAACGTTTAGCTGGCCACAATAAAAGGAGGAGGAAATCTCAACCTGACAATTTTAAAAATAACAATCCTTTGAATGATAACCAGGCGAGTAGTCATCTATTGATGACCTTACTGAAGATAGTCTCCAATATGCATTGTAAGTAAATGATGTTCCCCCCGTTAAAACATGAGATTGTGATTTATGTGAGACTATTTCATGGAACTTTACTTTCATCATATTGCCTTTTAAACTTATGACAAATGCACTTAATTTGTTCTGGGTTCCATGAGCTGCAGCCAATAGATCAAACCACGAAGATGATCAGGATATGTTGTCTCATCTTCTACACAACCTTGCTAGCCAGGGATCTTTGCATGGGGAAAAAAACATCTCTGGACGTCCAAAGGAATCTCATAACTTGCCCTACAATCTCCCTTCTTTAGGGAATTCAGAATTGTTGCATGCCTTGCTCTCGAACGGTTCTCAAGGCCGAAGATCTGGAGAACAGCTTAATATAATTCCTGGTGGTGAAATGCTGAGGAAGGATGAGAATCTACAATCCACAACTTCTCAAAGACCAAGCGTCATGTTCCCCAACCATGGTAGTTCTCCAGTTGATGCAGGAGGCAGGGAATGTTCTGCTGGAAGGAGCAAATTGAATAATTTTGATTTGAATGATGTATATGTTGATTCTGATGATGGCATGGAGGATGTAGATAGATCACCTGTCCGTGTGGATCTGGGAACCAGTTCTATTGAATTGCCTTCATGGGTACAACAAGAATCCCATCAGTCAAGTCCTCCTCAGACAAGTGGAAATTCAGATTTGGGATCTGCCCAGTCTCCTTCCAGTTCTAGTGGGGATGCTCAGGTATATTTTACTATGCTATAAACTCACTGGGTATGTTCAATGATATTTGCGGTTTTTCTTTTACAAATATAGTACCTTATAAATCTGGCGCTGAAATTCCAATTTTATGAGGAAGTTTGCCTCAGATTTTTCTATAATGAGGGGGATCATGCATCATTAGGGGACCACACTTTCTTCGGTGACACCTAAAATTCGTCGATATACAAAGCTTTGTCACTCGTATCTTTTGGTCTGATATCTTTCATACAGAACTGTCTTTAACCTCCCTTCCAGAAACATTTTATTACAGATTACAGTTCCTGTTAGATATTCCAATAGTCAGAACAAATCCAATACATCAGTGATGAATAAGATTTTAAACTTTCATTCAGATAAACATATTATCCATGTTAAAGACAATGAGCGTTTCTGTGACATGTCTACTTATTTCTTTTGATTTCTCACTCCCAGGTTTCTAGAGGTTTTCTAAACTTGGATTCTCTGAGCCTCTGTGTTAGACGCCCTGCCCTTATTGGTCGACTGTACAGTCCCAGCAATGCTAATTCATACCCATTCTGTACGTAATCTTAAAATTGCCAACAAACTTTGCCATAGCGAGGCAAGATTTTACCTGTACCCAACAAGAAGTTCAGTCCCAATAAATTGATGGTCAGATAAACTAATCTATTGTACTATATATTTAAACCATCATTACATTTATTGAAAGGTCCAACGAAATCAAATTGCAACCACCCTTACAGGCTATGTTAAGTTTGTTGTACACCCTCTCTTTCTCTTTTTACTTTTGATAAACACCCTCTCTCTTTCATCTGTTGGATGGTATTTCTCTTGTGAATGGAAGATTTTTTATGTTTACTTAACGCATGCCGCTACCATCTCAAATTTCATTTCCTTATTTTATCTATAGCTGGTACTATGTCCAGTTGATAGAGTATATCCTTGTTTAATTTATATGGACATTTTTTCGTTTTATAGCCTAAGTATCATAAATACTTAAAATTTTACCCTTGAATATATCAGAAGAACCTTCCTTTTGCATTTTTTGTCGACTTTTTATTTTTATATTACCTGAAATCTAAAACAACCAAGTTCTTTCTAAGTCTTAGTTGTCAGCTTAGCTTATGAATGTGCCTAGATATATTTTTCTTGTTTTGAAGAAATAAATTTTTCGTAGAAATGACACTAAAATAATTCTTAGCTCGTAATTTTTTACATTTTTTTATTCTAATATTTTGCTGTCCTTTGTGTCATTCCAGAGTCGAACAGATCGCATTGTTTTCAAACTGTTTGGAAAGGAACCCAGCAATTTTCCCATCATTTTACGAGCCCAGGTATTTTTGAACTTTTGTTCGGATATCCACTTTGCTGTCTTCTTTTCTTAAAAAGTTTAGCAAAATTAATATTTTGTATTTCCAGATTTTTGATTGGTTATCCCACAGTCCTACAGACATAGAGAGCTATATAAGACCTGGTTGTATCATTTTAACGATATATCTTCGTTTATCTGAGTCTGCATGGGAGGAGGTATGCTTGTTTTTCAGGATAACATGAATGTGAAATTGTTGTTCTGGATTCATGGAAAAACCTCCTTAAGTTGTCAAAACACAATTGCTTTCTGCAGCTCTGTTGTGATTTGAGCTCCAATTTGAGTAGACTTCTGGATATCTGTCACGATGTCTCTTTCTGGAGTACGGGATGGATTTATGTCAGGGTGCAGAATCAAATAGCATTTATATACAATGGTAGTTATTATTATGTTTGTTGAAAAACATTCTGTAATATATTACATTTACAGTTGCTAGTTTTGCAACTATACTTTGCGGAAAGATTAATCATTTTAAATGTTCCCATTCTGCAGGTCAGGTTGTTGCGGACACATCTTTACCTTTCAAGAGTAGTAATTATAATACAATTCTTAGTGTTAAACCTATCGCTGTGACATCATCTAAGAGAGCTCAATTTGTTGTCAAATGCTTTAATTTATCGCGACCCTCCACGAGGTATGCATCATGATTTGCTGAATGGTTGTATTTTCTTCTTGTTGATTTTATGAAGCAAGTGTTAGATAGATTCTGTTCTCCCTTCTCTCCATAAGATTCAGAGATCCTTGGTCACAATCACCAGGCGCTCACATCAGCACAATGTTGAACATTTGTTGCCAGGTTACTCTGCTCGTTAGAGGGTAATTATCTGGAAGCTGACAGTGTGTTAATGGAACACGTGGGTGGCTTCGAAGGGCATGATGTTAAGTATCTGAACTTTGCCTGTTCAATTCCTGCTGTTAATGGAAGAGGATTC